GCGGCTACAAAGGCGCTGTGCACGATGCGGCGTTGACAGGACCATTGCAATCTGCGTATGTATCAAGTCGATACTGTATGACGTGGCAAGAGCAATGTCACGCGAGGTGTTTGCTTAAGATCTCATAGGACGCGTGAGGGTCGTCGTGCTGGCTCGGCGACGTCGCGTCGACCTCGTACTGCATCGTCTTGGTGTAGAACTGGAGCGCGGATGCGTTGGCCTTGAAGACGGTCAAGACGATCCACTTCATCTGGTATCGCCGCGCAATGAGCTCCAGCAGCTGCATGAGCCGCTTCCCAAGGCCGCGCCGCTGCAGCACCGGGCCAATCTGAAGCTCGTACACGTAGACGATCTCGGCGCCGTCGTCCTCGACGAACCGAAAGTGCACGAACGCGTCGACGTCGCCCGCGATGAGGTACCGCGCCGCCGGATCAAAGAGCTCGGCGCGCTTGGCGGCCATGTCAAAGCCCCACGACGATTGCTCGTAGAAGCTCTGCATGTTGGCGCAGAAGAGCGCCTCAATTTTGGTCTTCTCGCCGGCCGTGAGCTGCGCGGCTGGTAGCGACCGCAGGCCCACGGTCACGTCGCCGGCCGCGTACGAGGCGAATGGTGCAAACTCGAGCATGAAGTCATCGACGCCGTTGGCGCGGGCTAGCGCCGCCTTTCGCGCGAGCGCCTGCTGCTCTTTCTTCGTCAGCCGCTTCGCCTTGGGTGGCATCGCGCTGTTTGTGTGCTGGTTGACCGGCCGCGTGATTAAATGTGGCATATAGTGCCGAAAATAATACCAGCCGGTGCGGTTGACGGCAAGGGAAACTTCGCATCGACCCTCAACCAACTCTGCGAAAGCACAGAGGAATGATCAAGGCCGCGTACCCGGTGTGGATTTAGTGCTAGCTTTCGCAGACGCGTGCGAGTGTCACACAGTCCTTGCGCCGGCGTGCTACCCGCCTTCAATGTGGCACATGCCGAACCCCAGCATGGAAGTATACGTATATAGAGGACCTGTGGCAATGAATAGTGACTGTTCCAGACTTGGCTTTTGTATTGCATACAAATTCAAAGACGGCAATAAGTCAAGCCACACACTCAGTAAAAGAACTGATGGAGGACCTCTCGCCGAACGAACAAGTCGCTGCCTTCACGGCCGCCGGTGCTTTCGCCGGCGCCGCCATCGGCTCGGTCGAGTCTGTGTGGCACATCCCCAAGCTCGGTACGTCCTGCCATGTCTCTGCGCCTCCAAGCTTGACGAACGACGTTGCCTGCAGGCGAAGCGCTCCCGAGCTTTTCGCACCAGCTCCGCGCGATTGCCCTTCGCTCGGTACGCTGTAAGCACCCGCACTGTCTATCGCTCATGGCCCAACGTAGGCCTCGTTCGGCATGATCTCGTTCTCGTACGCTGTCGGCAAGTCGACTGCGGTAGGCAAAACACCCACTCTTGTGCCAAGGCGCTCATGGGCTTGCGTAGGCTTCGATCCGCATGAAGGACGATGTCTTCAACCCGATCGTCGGTGGCTTTGCGGCCGGCATCGTGCCGGGCATCTTGCGGAAGAGCGGCACGGTCGGCCTTGGTGCCGGCGCGGCCATTGCCACGGTCATGGCGGCCACCGAGTACTTCTCGGCGGGCGCGGAACCCACGGCGAACAAGTGGGCCTCGCGCTACGACCACCTCAAGAAATAAACGAGGCCACCCGTGTGTGTGTTATTTCTTCGACGACGTCGTTATTCGAGTCCTCCCGCCATCTACCCAGCGACCTGCACGCTGCAGTCGACGCCTAGCGACGCTTGACGCACGCAAAATGGACGACAACGCCGTACCTAGGAACCCTTCGAAGCAAGCACACGTGCCGTCCTTGTAGTTGCAGATGCCTCGGTTGGAGCACTCGACGTAGCAAAGGTTGCCGGCGGCGCCCACCGAAGTGCTTCCAGCCGCGGCGACGCCCGCGCAGTCGGTGTCGATGACACCGGAGAGCGGGTCATTGTTGGACGGACAGCGCCCTAGCAGAAGCGAGCATGTGAGACGCAAAGGGCAGACCATGCCGCACGAAGGGAGCAATCGGCGCCAAACCACTCTGGCACTTGGGTCTGTCCGGACGCCAGGCCGACGGGCCATGACGAGTCGCACACGCAGCCAAAGATGCGCTCTTGGTCCCATGTCGTGGTCGTCTACGCCGCATGCGTCGTCATCTTGCTCACCACCGGTGCGATCTACCTGGAGCCCATAGTAGGTTCTCGCTGGCGAGAGCGGTAGTGCCGTTGCTTGGCCCGCCAGGTACCGCATCGCAAGGCAGCGGCCGTGGCCCGAGCAGCCGTTCGGGCAGCCCGCTAGTCGTTTTGCTCAGTGGTCGATGTTTAGGAGCACGTACCGAGTTCGCATGAGAGGCCCTGGAAACCGGGAAAGCAGGTGCATTCGCCCGTGTTGGTGTTGCAGATGCCCATGTCCGAGCACTCGGCGAGCACAGTATGGCCCGTCGTCTCGGACGTCGGGACGCTGGTCCACGAGAGGCCCGCCGGACACGTGCGCAGCGAGCAGTCGGGGCTCTTCCAGATTGAAATGTCGGTCGGCGCGCCCCACCCAACCTGGCACGTGCACACCTTTGTGTGCGTATTGCAAAAGCCATGGCCGTTGCAGTTGTTGAGCGTCGCGCAGAGGTCGCCGCCCTGCGGGTTGTAGCCGGCGACGCCCGCGAGCCCGACGAGAAGGTTAAGATACCGCATTTCCGTAGCCGTTTTTCGCGATCTTGCATCATGTTGTCGCTTGACGCCGTCCGCTCGATAGCATCTTTGTAGGTGGCGAGGCCACAGGCAGCGGTGACGGCGACCTCGACCTCGACTATCAACCTCGGTGGCACCCTGTGGCTCCATCATGCATTCATGAGGTCATGCGGCCTGGCAGGCGCACACTTACCACTCGCCACTCGCCACTGCACGGAGCGACTACGGTACAAAGCATACCGGCGGCGCCTCGACTCGGCGCACGCCGATTGTTCCACGCCATACTGTGCCATGCGCCTTGCCACCGCCTTGCTGCGTGCGGGCCTTGCTGCGTGCTGCAGTACTGCAAGACCAACCCACTTCGCCGCTTCTCCAGTCGTCCATGAAGCATCGTCACGGCCAATGGCCATGCGGCGCGCCCGTCGCCTGCGTGCTACGCCCGTGTGCCAGCGACCGCCGGCGCTTGGATCGTGGCCGCCTGTCGACCTCTATGAATGCATATCCGTGGTAACCTCTAAAACTGGATATTTCGGGACGCGGAATCCACCACGCATTTGTGGACGACGTAGCCGACGACCAACATGGTGTCCATCCGCAATGCAACGGTACTGGATATGAATGACGTGGCAGGCCAAGGCTCATGCACGCTCCTGGCAGGTGACGGATCTTCTCGCGATGCAGAACGCCAACCTGTGGTGCCTGCCCGAGAACTACCAGATGAAGTACTACTACTACCACATCATGTCGTGGCCGCAGCTGCTCTACGTGGCCGAGGACCATGACGGCAAGATCGTGGGCTACGTGCTCGCCAAGATGGAAGAGGAGGCGACGGTGCCGCATGGGCACATTACGTCGCTCGCCGTGCTCCGGACACACCGCAAGTGCGGCATTGCCACCAAGCTCATGAAAGCGGCGCAGCGCGCGATGGTCGAGAGCTTCAAGGCCGAGTACGTCTCGCTGCACGTGCGCGAGGGCAACGCGGCCGCGATCCACCTCTACCGACACACGCTCAAGTACCAGGTCTACGACATTGAGAAGGGCTACTACGCCGACGGCGAGGACGCGTACGACATGCGCCTTCCGTTCACGGACAAGTGCAACACGGCCATGGCCGCCAACGTCGCCAAGTGGAACAAGTACCTCGCCGACCTCGGCAAGTAGACACGGACGCAGAGGACGATGCGCGATGCGTTGTGCTTAATAATAATAGGTGCGGATGTACTGATCGGACGTTCGGCGGACCTTGGACACCTCGGGCGCGATCCCATGCCCTGCGACGAGCTGCACGAGGAGCGCAAGCCGCTTGAAGCGACGGTGCAGCGGCCGGCCGCGCTTGACGTAAATGTCCTCCTCGCCAAACTCGTCGACGTACGGCGACGTGAAGAAACAGGCGCGCCCATGCACGCTCACGAGCAGCACACTGCACGCCTTGAGGAGGAAGAACGCGCCGTTGCCATGGCCGCAGTGCGCAACGTGGCGTGAGCAGGCGCCTTGGCCGTCGACCTTGCAGCAGTCGCTGCCGGCACAGACAGCAACGCCGCAGCGCAGGCAGAGCGCGGTGGTCTCCATCGGCAGCGACGTACTCGGGCACCGGTGGCCGCTATGAAGCGCGTACAAGTCCGTGTACTTTGGCGGCAGCAGCGTGCTGTGCACGTGCCACACCCACGGCACGCTGCGCACGAGCACGAGCGGCAGCGCGGGGACCTGCGCAGCTCCGAGCATCGGAGCGATCCAAGTGCCAAAGGCCTTGGAGCCAAAGACATCAGCGGGAAGTGGCACGCCGAGCTGCTGGCAGAGGCTCGGGAGCGAGCTGGACCCGCGCAAGGTCGAGACAAAGTTGAGGTACAAGCCCGCGTCCGGGTCATCGGCGCCGCGGAAGACGGCGCGGGCGACGAGCGTCGCCTTGCGCAGAAAGCCAAGGACCGTCGACTCAAACACGGCTTGGAGCATCGAGCCCGACGGCGCAGTCGCCGCGATCGGAAGGCCCAGTGACGCGCGCCAGCCGTCCACGGACGTCACAGTCACATCACGGGGCAAGGCGTCAGGACACGCTGTCGTCGTCTGCACTAGCGCTTGGACCATTTGCAGCACAGCGAACGCCCGGATCGTCCAGAGCATCTCGGCCTTGTCCTGGACGACCGCGCACGTGAGAAGCAGCGACCGAAACAGGTCCTGCGACAGCAAGGGCGCGGTAAGGGCAGCGAGCACGTCGCTGGTCGGAGCCGACCCTTCCAGCGCCGCCGCCAGTGCATTCGGGACTGCGCCTGCATACGTGCTTGGGAGAAGCGCGGGGAGCAGCTGCAAGACGAGGCGAAGCGCCTCCAACTTGGCGTCGTCCCGGGGCGTGAGCGCGTCCAAGCACACATCCGCGTCGGGCGGCAAGTCGACGCCGAGCCGGTGCACCGCGACTGCCTCCGGGGCATACGCCACATGCAGAAGCGCATCCGAGAGGCCTTGGGTCTCGGCGGCAGCGAACGCGTCGGCGACCGTGTCGAGCACCGTGGCCGCGGCCGACGTGAGTGGCATCTGCAGCGACTCAACAAACGCGTGCATGGCGTCACGGGCCAGCGTCGGGAGCTACAGACAACGTAAAAGCTCATTTGCCAAGAGCTAACTCGAGCCTACCGAGGGCAGCGGCGACGACCGGAGACGCGATGGGAGCGAGGTCAGGTGCAAGAGGACGCTGTCGACGCTGCTCGCGCCTTGGAAGAAGGCTTCCATGGCGTGGCCCGACGTACTTGGCGCGCGTGGGACATATGGCACGGTCGTACTGCTCAGCGCCTTGCAGAGCGGGCAGAGGAACTCGCCGTGGGCGGCGTCAAAGGCGACGGCCGAGAGCAGTGACGCGTCCGTGTCGCGGCGGATGGTCGACCGGTACTGCTCGACGCACGAGAGGTGCACAGCGTGGCCACACAGCTGGACGTGGATCGCCGTCTCGCAACTACGTGCGAGTTGTCAGATGGACGATTCCAAGCACAAGCCAGCGCGTACCTCTGCGGTCGGCCAATGCGTTGGGCGAGGCCGATGTATACCACCGGGTCGTCCTTCTTGGCGTGCGCGCAGATGATGCACTCGGGCGGCAACTGCTCGAGGAGCGTCTCGTCGGGCCTCTCTGCCTCTGCCTCGACGTCGTCCTCCGCCTCGAGCAGCGTGGTTGCGAACTGCGACTGCCGCGCCAGCATCGCCGCCATCGCCTGCTGCTGCTTGTGCTTCTGCAGTGCGAGCCGCGCCTTGGCGTCCAATGGTCCGTTCGTCCGTGTCGTGACGACCCGGAGGACGTCGGCAGCCAGGAAGCGCGCCATCGCCGCGTCCATCGCCGCATAGGCGTTGAGGACGTAGAGGATCCCCGCCAGGAGCGGCGTCAGCGACGCTTCGCCGAGGGCCCGCAGCCGTGTCGCATGCGCTGCAAGGAGCTGCACCAGGCTGCCGTCGCCGCACCTACGCCAGTGTCAACACGCATCTTGATTCGCGTCAAACGTACGGTGCATGGGTGCCAGAGGGCAGAGGCAGGCCAAGGCGCTCGTCAGTCGGGGTGGCCGCCATCGTGAGCTCGGGCATGAGCGCCGCCGTCGCCGCGTCTCGCTCGGACGACGCGGCCAGCACATGCAGCTGGAGCGTGAGCAAGTGGACAACGCGCGTCAGCACTGTCTCGTCGGCGCCGAGGTGCGCGTCGCGCAAGCAGTGCCGGAGCACGGCGAGAAGGTCGGGCGTGAGAGCCAAGTCCCGGACGCGGGCCATGTGCGGGTGCGGCAGCGGCAGCGCAGCGACAAGCGGCAGCGGCGTGTCGCGCCAGTTCTTGAAGACAACGTCGTGGCGCGCTTCCTGCGCCTTGATATGCCGGGACGGGCTGAGATGCAGACAGGCCGGGTCGTACTCGGTATACACCGCGTGCTTGAGCACATACTTGGCCGGCGCGATGCTGTCGATGGCCGCCGACGGGCTCTCGGCAATCGCGTCGAGGACCGACTGGAGCTGCTTGTTGCGCGTGTCTTCGGGCAGCGCTTCGTACCCCGGGTACGCGTACACACTGGCCGCTTCGTCGCGGAGCGTCGAGTAGTTGCACGGTTGGTACAAGAGCAAGTGCACGAGCTTGCGCCGCAGCGCGACCTCGGCGCCTGTGGTTGACGGCGGCGGCAGCTCCGTGAGCAGCCACAGCAAATGGAGGAGCGACTGCGACACGAGCTGCGTCTGTTTCTCAGGCGTCCACGGGCGCACAGTCGGGCCAGCGAGGTACGACGCGACGCCGTACCGGTCGAGGAAGCGGGCCAAGAAGGCGCGGGGCCCCAAGACGACAGCCCCAAACTGCAGCAGCGCAAGGTCGACGTCTCGAAACGACACGTGCGCTGTCAAGTTGGGGAAGTAGTAGGCCTGGTCGGCGTAGCTCGTGGCTTCGTGCGTCATGAGCTCTTGGCCGTTGCGGACCCAGAGATGACTCGCGATTTGCGCCGACAAGACCAGCGACCGCAGCGGGTACTCCAAGAGGCTGTCCCACTCGTCGACGTTCTGGACGCGGGCGGTAGCAAAGGCGGCGACGTCAAAGGTACCAGCGGCAAGCACCTCGAGTACGAAGAGCCCGATCGCTTGGTGCAGCGGGTGGTGGAGCGACACGGGCTCGGCCGCCACGTCAAACTGCACGAGCCGTTGATCGGCGACGGTGTGGTAGCGACGTCGTGACGCGTGCGCCGTCAGCGCCGGCCAGAGCCCGTCCCAGATGAGCGCCGCCGTCGTCTCGTCGAGCCCTTGCTTGGCCATGCGGAGGCCTTTGAAGAAGCTCTCGGTGACCGACGCCAGACTCAAGTGGAGCATGAGGGCGTTGTACCACGGCATGTTGTCTTCGAGTTCAATGTGCGCCTCAGATTCGCGCACTCGCACTTGGGCATTCAGGTGCGACGCATCGACAAGCAGCCGGGCCCACGCGCCGAGGTGCTCGAGGAAGGCGTGCGCGATCGACGGCACGAGCAGTACAAAGCCGAGGTCCGTGATGACAGGCTCGTAGCGCGTAAAGCGGACAACAATGTGGTCGAGGTTGATGACGCGCATCGGCGTCTGGAGCGCGTCATCGACCTTGGTGAGCTCAAGGCCCTCGCCGAGCACGTGCAGCAGCATCGGGAGGAGGCCCTTGTCGTCGACGAGCTGCGGCACGATCGACGGCGTCGTGAAGATCTGGACGCTGAGCCCAAACATCGCTTCGTTCTTGGTCCCGACCCCGCAAAAGTACTCGCGCATGACCAGCTGGTAGACTTCGACGTAGAAGAGCGCGAACTGCCACTTGAGCGTCCGGTCGCCCATGAGGTTCAAGTACGCCGAGTGCAGCGCCGTGACAATCGCCTTGGGCAGCACCGACGTCGCGGTGAGCAGCTCGACGATCGGCTCCATGTCACTCGACACATGGGGGTAGACCTTCTCGATGCAGGCGACGGGCTCAAACAGCAGGCCAAAGAGCGACTGCTGCAAGGTCGGCGAGAGCCGCGCGAGGCCGTGGACGTACGAGAAGAGGTGGACCACGATGGCTTCGCGTGCGAGGTGGTCGTCGTCGACGACGGACGCGAGCCAGCCCTCGGCTTCCATGGCCTGCATGAGCGAGAGGGCTTCGGGGAGGAGGACCTTCTCCTTGAGGAGGGCGGCGCCGTCGGCGTCGACAGATTGGGTGAACGCCTCAGCAAACTCGAGCGAGTAGCCCTTGTCGATGAGCGACCCCGTGAGGTCCTGGTCCGTGTGCACGTCGTCGTTGGAGATGCGCACGTGGTACAAGGTCGGGAGGTCGTCGTCGCTGTGCTTGCGCTTCTTGGGCTTGAGCCGCGCCTCGATCTTGGTCGGGTCGTGGTTGTTGGTCGCGCGACCTGCAACGTCGACCATGTACACGATGAGCTCGCGCAGCACATCGACGATCGTGGCGGTCAAGGGCGGTGGCAGCTCGAGTGGCGTCTCGACGACCTCGAGATCGCTGCTCTGCACGCGGTGCGCCGGACACATGCCATGCACCTGCCACGCCTCCGTGTCGCCGCAGTCGCACATGCCGCCCGGCGATGTCCGGTGGAAGAAGACTTGGTGGCCGTCGTGGTCGGACGCCTCAAAGCACGACTGGCACTGCACGCACGTCTCGTCCATCTCGCAGTCGCGGCAGCTCCACGAGATGTCGTTCTGCTGAAACATGTAGCCACACATGCGCTTGGGCATCGTGAGCGCATGCGCCTCGTGGACATGGCGCAAGTACGCGGCGACGTTCGGGAAGCTGCCGCCGTCGGCCACGCGGATCGCAGCATGCAGCGCAGCCTCGGCAAAGTCCGGGAAGCGCTCTGGCTTGTGGCCATACGCGAGAAGGCTCACGATCCAGCCGGCCTCGAGCACGGGCTCAAGCCCATGGCGCAGCCGGTCCTCGACGTAGCGCCCCAGCGCACTCGGGCTCGCGAGGTGCGACATCCGCTTTTGTCCACGCCACAGAAAAAGCTTGCGTTTCGTATACCGCTGCTCATGGCATCGTCGAGGTGGCATCTGCCGAGAATAGATGTCAGCTGCCGAAAACAACACGGAGTTTGCCATTTCGAGGTCTGCGACGCGGCAGCGTGCAACGTCGACGCGCCGGCGCCCCGTGGACGCGCAGCCATTGTATACTAAAACCAAGTGCCCGTTCAAGCGCGGACCGACGGGATGCGACGGCTGTGGACACGGCGCCAGGCAGGTGGCGAGTATGCCGAAACTAAATCCCATATGGAGTGGCATGTGCCGCAAAATAAAACAGGATTTGCACCATGGACGACGAGCGCATGGCAGCGACCGACGAGGTGGCAAACGAGCCCATGGCCGAGGGCGAGACGGCGGAAACGGGCACCGACGAGGCCATGGTATATGCGTGGTTCGAGCACTCGGGTGCGATGGCGCCAACGCACATGTACAGCCTCACTGCCCCGTTCGCCTCACAGTTCACGCGGGGCGTCAAGGTCTCGCCGGACGGGCTCTGCCTCCTGAGCAACGCCGACGACAACGTGCTGCGGCTCTTTGACGTCAACCCGGAGGTGCAAGACGCCGCCTTGGAGATGCCGGAAGGCGGTACGGTCTACGACTTTACGTGGTACCCGTTCATGACGTCGTCGGACGCCGCGACGTGCGTGTTTGCAAGCACGTCGCACGCCCACCCCGTGCATCTCTGGGACGCGTACACGGGCGAGGTAGCAGCGCGCGTAGGTTGCCCGCTCATCGCTGCTGTAGCTGCGCGCCACGTACCGCGCATACGACCACTTGGACGAGCTCACGAGCGCGTACTCGGTGGCGTTCAATGCCACGGGTGACAAGCTCTTTTGCGGCTTTGAGCGCACGATTCGGTTCTTCGACACGACGCAACCCAGCCGCGACTTTACGACGCGGGCGCTGAGCAAGACGCGCAAGTCGCGCCACGGCCAGCGGTCCTTCTCTCGCCGACGACGTCCGTAGCCCCTCACGCCATGTCTAGGGGCATCATCTCATCGATTCACTTCAACCCCGACCACTCCAAGTACAGGCTTTGGCGTCCATGGTAGCGACTCATGGTATCCTGTGTGTAGGATGTATGCGGCCGGGTCGTACAGCGGGCAGACGTGCATTTATGCCGAAGAGTCTGGCGACGAGCTCGTCTCGCTCGAGGTACGCATGTCCGTCGAGCGCGTTGGTCGTAGCATGGGACTAGGGCCATGACGGCCACGGCGTCACGCAGGTTCAGTTCTCGCCCGACGGCAACTTCTTGCTCACCGGCGCACGCAAGCACGGGCTCATCCAAGTGTGGGACATTCGCAATACGATGCAAGTGCTCTACTCGCTGCCACGTCATACGCCGACCAACCAAGTACTTATATATGCGGTGATGCCATTGGCTCATACGATTGCTAGAAGATCGCCTTTGACGTGCACTGCGGTGGCCGCTACGTAGCCACGGGCAGCGAGGTAGTGGCCCTTCTCGTGGCAGTGCCAACGGTCGACCTCGCATCCTAGGACGCCAAAGTGCTGCTGTACGACCTCACGACGGGCGCGGCCGTCGATGAAATTGGAGGTTTTGCCGGTACCACTGACTACGACCGGTGGGAGTTGCAGCCACGATATCCTGCGTAGATGCGGTCAACGGCGTGTCGTTCTTTCCTGCCGGCACGACTGCGCAGGTCGCCTGCTGCACGGGCCAGCGCCACTACGACGTGCCCAAGGACATGCGTGACGACGACGACGACGACGCTGACGCGACGGCGCGAAGGACGCTGGCGGCCAATGGCATTCACTTGTACGAGTTTGCAGCGAATACGCAATAAGATGAGGATATAAGGGTGGTGCATCTTCAACTACCGTCGGCGGTTCATACCGCCGTAGCCCTGAACCTGGGGCTTGGGCGCGTTCGGGTCGCGCGGCTTGGTCGGGTAGATCTCGGTCGTCGTCGGCTCGTACCGGCCGCGCCAGCCGGTTTCGCTGGGCATGACAAAGTCGGCTTCGTTCTCGATGCCCTCGAGCTGCATGCGCCGCCGCTTCTCGCGCTGCTCCTCTTCATGCCGCGCTTGGCGCTTGGCCTTGACCTCTTCGAGATACGCCATCTGCTTGGCTTCGATGTCGACTTGGTCGCGGATGCGCTTCTTGGCCTTCTTCTTTTCCTTCTTGAGCTTCTTCTTCTCGTCTTTCGAGCGCTTGACCTTGAAGACGTCGACGCCCTTGTGGATATCAAACTTGGTCGCGAGCTCCTTGTCCTTGTACGCGTGCCCTGCCTGCCCGCGGAGCTCGTCTATCGCGTCGTCGAGCGCGTCGTCGTCGTCGACGCCGTCTTCCTTGTCGCGAAGCTCCTTCGGGAGCTTGTACTTGTGCACGTGGTCGACGCGGAGGAGGCGCTCGAGGAGCGACGAGCCGTTAAAGTTGTCGACCGCCAGCACCGTGGACCGGTGGTCTTCGTACTTGAGGAAGGCAAAGCCCATGGACTTGCCCGTGTCCTTGTCGCGCACGAGGTTGATGTCTTCAATCTCGCCGACCTGGCTAAAGACGCAGAGCACGTCGCCCTCCGTGAGCTCGTACGAGAGGCCGCCGACGTAGACCCACGCCGACTCGCGGTAGATGTGGTGCCACGAGCCTTCGTAGCTCACGCCCTGGTCGAGCTCCTGCTGGTTCAAGCGCTCGATCTCCTTGATCACGTTCATGGCCGGCCGCTCGTTGGTCGCTCTCGCCCAGTCTCCGGATGCGACACGTGCCGGCGGATTCGGCACGGTTCGTTTTCAGGCGGCACATGCCGAAGCTAAAATGCCTCCTTTTGCAAGCCAAGCCGGGCCCTCTCGCGTCGACGGTACCCATTTGAGAGTTCGGACAGCGCATGTGGCTTCTTCATCTGCCTGTATAATACAGACGGCGCGTTGACGCTGTCCTGGATCTGGTCCTGGATGATGAAGACCAGCGTCCATGGCCGACGATGCAACGTGGCATATGCCGCCTTTTACCGGCCATTATCAAGTGGCAGATGCCGAAAACGCCGAATATAAAAGGAGAGACCATGCACAAGCCTTCGCGTTCCTTCAGGAGGCGGAATATATTTTTAATAAAATAAAATTGGACGCCATCCCGCAGGATCGCGACTGACGATGACGACGGCAACCTTGGCGAGCCCGGCCACGCTGGCGCAGCATGTCACGGCGCAGCTGGCAGATGCATCCGCTGTGGACGTGCTGCCGCCTGGCTGGCTCCAGCACTATATCGATGAAGGCCATGAGCCGGCAGCGCTACCGGCGTACCTCGAGGCCAGCCTGCTCGCGGCCGTGCATGCATCGGGCGCGACGCACTACGAGAGCGCCGAGACGTTCCTCCATGAACTCCACGACGCCCACGCCAAGACCGTGCCAAAGCGCGTGTGTGGCTACATGTTCAAGCACAACGACATTGCATGGAACTGCCGCGACTGCCAAATGGACGATACGTGCGTGCTGTGCCAGACGTGCTTCCAGCGCTCGGACCACACGGGCCACCAGGTCTTCTTCCATCGAACGACGCCCGGCGGTATGTGCGACTGCGGTGACGAAGAGGCGTGGAAGCCATCGGGCTTTTGCCCGCAGCACCAGGGCCATGCCGCGGGGGCCGACACGCCGCCGACGCTGCCGCGCCCGATCGCGCGCGTCGTGGAGGCCCTCGCGTCCGAGGTCGTCGGGCTCCTCACGCGCGTCGCGCATCGCTCGGTCGTCTCCTTTGACGACGAGCTCGTCGCGCAGGCCGCCGAAGCGACGCGGCAACAGCACTTGCGTACCTTTCCGACGGACCTTCGGCCCAAGCTCTTCCACGTCCGCGTCTCCAACGACGACGTGCACACGGACGAGGAGCTCATCGTGTCGCTGCAGAAGAAGGGCTTCACGGCCGTGTTTGCCCAGACGTTCACGCACAGTGTCGACAAGGCCGGCGCCGGGTCGCTCCGCCGCAACGAGACCTTTGCAGACGCGCTAGCGCTCATGCGCGTCCTTCTCGCTGAGAACTGGTTCGTCTCGATCGTCGACGACATGCACGAAGCCCTCGAAGAGGTCGCATCGGCCGCCATCGGCTACCTTCTCGCGCTCACTGCCGTGTCGCCGTCGGTGCTCTCGACGTTGCTGCTCGCGCTCTTCGCCCCCGTGCAAGCAACGTACGCCGACAGCCATGACGACTACCGGCCGATCCGCGTGCTATTGCAGGCCACGCCGTTCTTGAAGAAGCCGCTCATGCGCCATCTGAGTCTCCTCTACCTCAAGCTCATGGGCGACCGCGACCGCAAGCTTGAGTTTGCCTTGGTCTACGCGCGCGTCTACAGCAAGCTCGCGCTGCAGTACTTTTGCGGCAAAGGCACCAACAAGGAAGCGCTCTTCAGCCTCGGCGTCCAGCTCTTTACGACGCCGTCGATCGTCCACGCTCTCGTCCACGACCACGGGTTCCTCGATACGATCTTACTCGCGCTTCAGAGCGGCTTTGATCTGGCGCTGGACCAGAATGGCCATGTGGACTTGGACCACATGGTCTTGCGCTACCGCCGGTACCAGCCGCTGATCATGGACCTCAACCACATTCTGGTGATCCCCGATATGGCCGCGGCCTTTGGGTCGCCCGAGACGCTCGAGATTTACGTCCAACTGCTGCACATGCTGTGCGGGATGAACCCCCAAGTCCGCATCCCGGAGGCGCGTCACCACGTCGACCACGTCGACGACCGCGGTTGGATCAGCGCGTTTAACCTCCATTTAACCCTAGCCGCGATGCCCCCCGCGCTCTTCAAGGGCCTTCGCTTGCTGCCGCCCGAGGCTTTTCAGAACGTGCTGAGAACGCTCTTGGTGACGATCCGCTCGGCGCTCGCGTCCAATGACGCCAGTGACGGCGTCGGTGTCGACGCGTGCCCCGTGTCGTTCCACTACCCGCTGCACCATGTACTGAGCCGCGTACTCCTCGAACACCTCTCGCTCCCAGAGACGTCGCCGCTAGCGCACTTGCTGCCTTCGGACAAGATGGTCTCGGTTCTCGAGCCGCCGCTGCGCACGCTCGTCTGGGCGTCCCAGATTGCGAGCCAGCTCTGGGTGCGCAACGGCAACGACCTCATGATCCGGCAGCTCACGAGCTACTACAACATTGGCTACAACCTCTCGTTTCGGGATCTGGACGTCGCGCTCGTGCAAGCCAGCGTCGTCGTACTCGGCCATACGCGCTTCATGGCGACGTTTACGCGCCGCTACGATCTGAGCGGCGACTGGCTCGTGGCGGCGGGGCCGGAGAAGCGCCGCTTGTACGTGGCCGACTGCCTCCTCAAGCTGCTGTGGCTCGTCACGGAGCTGCCGCCGCCCTCGACGCAGCGCATCGAGGTCATGCTGCGTCGCGAAGTCGTTCACTTTCTGAGCTACCAGCCGTTCTTGTACTCGGCGCTGCGGGAGCAAACCGAGCCGCTCTACGCCCGTCCCGGCCTCGAGTCGGTCTCGGACGACGCCAAGAACAAGCAGCTCATGGCTGTGCTCCACGAAGTGGCCGACTGGCCAACGACGACGCAAAACGAGCTGACGCCGGCGAAATTCTCGCTCAAGCCCGCGCTCTACAGCGAGTACGACCCGTCGTTCGTCCATGTGAGCCCGATGAACCACGTGAAAGCCCAAGTCGCCCGCCAAGACGCGCTCTTCAAGACGTGGACGCCGTCGCGTCCATATCTTCCGATGGTCCAGGAGCTGCCAGCGTGCCATCCGTCGATGCAGCCATGCCGGGATCTCGTCGTGTCCCACCATGTCTTCCAGCTGCTTCGTCTCTCTCTCCGGGATGCAGACGACGAGTCGGTGCTCAGCCGTCTCGTGCATGTGGTCACAGTGCAGCTTCTCGTTGTCACTGCGTCGAGCGCGGATGCAGTTTGGTACGAGCTCCGCCGCCCGGACGACGAACCAGTGCCCTCCTGGGTCGCCGCCGAGACTACTGCACTCGACGCCGCACTCGAGGCGTCTGCGGCAGACGAAGAAGGCGCCGCTGTCGCCAAGAGCAGTCTTCTCGCAGCGTTGACCGCCAAGGCCATGGCGTTCCGTGAGACGCTCGAAGCGTCGATCAAGCCGCTCGTCTCGGCGCTGCTCTTTGTGCTGCAGCGCGTCCAGACGTTGTTCCCACGCAGCGCCACGTTCCTCGCGCTGACGGTCTTTCCGGCGGCGTCGGCCACGAGTCCGTCTGCGACCGCGCCGATCGACCCCAAGGCGCGCCTCGCTTTGCAAAAGCTCAAGCAGCAGCAAGCCATGGCGGCCATGCAGGCGCGTCAGTCGCAGTTTGCTACGATGCTCGACGACGACGACGCCAGTGACAATGACACGATGGACAATGACGCGACGGGCCATGGCGAGTCGGTCGAGGCCGCGCAGCCGCCGCCCGACTGCATCATCTGCGCCCAAGTCAAGAAGGACGAGCCCGTCATGTTTATAGGGCTGGCGCAGACCGTGCCGTCGTTCACGTTCGTCTGAGGACTATGCGACATGTCTCATCATCTTGTACGAGTAGGCGGCATCGCTTTGACATGCTCTCGCCCACGATCCACGTCTCGCTGTGCGGCCATGCGCTGCACCTTCCGTGCGCCCAGCAGTACCTCTCGACGGTCGCGCGCGAGGTCGGCGCGTCGCTCTTGCAGCAGCACGCGATTGCGTTTGATGCGAGCATGGGCGAGTTCCTCTGCCCGCTCTGCAAAGGTCTCAGCAACTCGGTCGTCCCGTTCGTCCCACGGCCAGTGACACGGCCCACGAGCCTCGAGCGCTACTTCCAAGGCGCGATGCAGCCCGACAAGGTGGTCGAGTATTTGCAGTCGCACTTGCCGTCGCAGCTCGTGACGGCACCGCCGATGGTATCCTTCATCTTCACCAGCCGATGCGACCTCTGGACTGTGTAGGAGACGGCCGCAAATGCATACGAAGGCCTCGCTGCGTACCTGCACTCGCTCCGGAACCTCCGGCCGGTCAACCTCACGAACCCCGTGTCGGTCGTCCGCATTGTCCTCGACTCGGTGAGTCAAGCGTTCGAGACGGCGCAGCTCCGCGGTCTCTCGGTCGCCTTGGAGACGCTGGCGTACGACGGTGACGCGTCGCCGTCCCTGACGCACCGCCTCGGTGTGTCCCTCCCATCGGACGTGGAAGCCGCGTTGGACCCGTTCACACCGCGCGACGACGCCAAGCTGCATGCGATGCTGCTGCTCCTGCGCCGCCTGCCCGTGATGATGCCGGCGGCAACGTTCCACGATGTCGTGCCGACAGCCCTTGCGGCGGCGCTCACGGGTGATGCGGGCGTCGTCACGGACGCGGCGTTTGGGACGCGCGTCGCGTCGGGCATGCTGCCGTCACTGGGCTTGCCGCTGCTCTGCCACGACTTGTTCGGGTCGCTCCTCCTCACGTGCTCGGTCCTCCGTGAGAAGGCCGAGATGCTCTGGGCCATCCGCGGCTTTGGGTGTCTTGCGATCGTCCAAGCGCTTATGCAGTGCCTGGAGCCCGTCGACGATCTCGTTGAAGCGAGTGACGGCTCGACGACGGCGATGACGCCTGTGACGGCATGGCGTCAATCGATCGCGAACGACCTTGGTGTAACAGTTGCCCCGACCGCACCGGCCGGTGACGTTCTGCACTTGGCCTTTGAGACGACCGTCTTGAGCTTCCTGCGCAAAGCAACGCTCTTGGCGCGCGCGATCTTCCGCGGCCCCGACGACGATGACGCCGGGCAGTACCTCAACTTTGTCAACCATCTGCAGCTCTCGACGTCGGTCTCGGGTATGTGCCAGCAGCTCGGGGTGCCGCTGCCCGCGGATCTCTTGGCGGCGACGTCGTTCCAGCCTTTTCTGCACAGCCACTTGCAGCGGACCCGCACGGTCGTCGCGCCGCATGCATGGAAGTACCCGAGTGACGCGCCCTTGGTCGACGGCATCGCAGCCAACTTGGCGGTGCTGCCCCGGCTGCCGCTGCACCGCCACAACCGCAGTCTCTGGGCGGTGCATGTGGCGCTGACCCCGCTCGCGCGCCTCTACACCGACTTGTACGCGGCGAATGGCCACCATCTATGCCCGAAAACCGGGCTGCCCCAAGAGTCAACGGCGCTCTGCATGCGCTGCGGCACGGCCGTGTGCGCGGGCACCGACTGCTGCAAGCGCAACAGCCGCGGCGCCTGCTTCCAGCACGTGGAGCACTGCGGCCACGGCAACGGCGCGTTCTTCTTACTCAGAGCGTGCAGCATGCTGCTCGTGAGCGTGCACGGGCGCGCCTGCTTCTTCACGTCGCCGTACGTCGACGAGTTTGGCGAAGAAGACATTTACGTCAAGCGCGGCCGGCCACTGCATTTGCGCCCGAAGCGGCTGCTTGCGGTGCTGCAGCATTTGGCCGGGCACTCGATCGCCGCCGAGGTGTCCAAGGTCCGTCGGACGTCTGATCAGTACATCCGTGCCTACTACTACTAAGCTCAATCGATCGGCTCGACTAAGTCGTATCTCCACTCGATACCATTGGAAAGCGCCATGCAAATGCTTCAAGTTGATGCACTTGTCGGCGTGAATAACCGGATGGCAGGCAGCAATATCCGGATCCCGAACGCAAAACCTCGTGGCAGTGGCAGTTGGAGACGACCGGTCGTATGGTCCGGACCAAGACGAGCGAGAAGGCCAAGGCCGCCGAGCGCAAGGTGCCCAAGACGCCGCTGACCATCCCGATGGGCGGGATCGACCTCGAGACGGAGGAGGTGCTGCGCGTGTACACGGCCATCGTCGACCGCCACAACCCGTACCGCACGCCCAACGTCGCGTCCGCGTACGACGAGCCGGCCATGGCCGCCAACTACGACGTGACGCTTTACGATATCTGCCGCAAGCCGCGACAAGTGGTCCATGGCACGCTGCAGATCGACGCCTCCTCGCTGCACGACGAGCTTCACTGCGCCATCTGCTCGGGTACGTCTTCTTCCTTCGCTCGATCGCTTATCGCTAACCGATGACGCTAGGCATCATTCGCGACGCGACAGTCATTACGGCATGCTTGCATCGCTTCTGCAGCGGCTGCATCCAGCGACACATCCACGAGAAGGGCTTGTCGCCGGCCTGCCCCGTCTGCAACACGGTGGTGTCGACCCGGCGTGCGCTCCGGCGCGACGAGACGTTCGACCAGCTCATCCACACCATCTACGGCGACGTGGCCGCATACGAGGAAGCCGAGGACGCACGCATCCAGCTCAGCAACAAGCGGGCGTTTCCGCAGCTCAACCTGGGCAAGCAGCGCGACTTCCAGGAGAAGCAAACGCCAATTATTACCAACAAACGAGCGCGTCGCTAATCGACGGCCGCTTACAGCACAAAGGGCACGATGGCCTTTCGGCGGAGGCGCTTGTACTCGTCGCCGTACGTCTTGTAGTAGCCAGCGTGCTTCTGGAGCGCCCACTGCGTCATCTGGAGGAAGCCGACGAGCGTAAAAAGGTAGCCTAGGCCCACGTGAGCATCTTGAGACCTCGATAGATTGAAATACCAAAGAAGATTTGCGTGAAGATGGAAAAGCCGACCCAACCGAGCACCTCGAACGTGTAGTTGGGGCACGAGACGAGGAGGAAGAGCGGGCCCTTGGGGATCGGGCGCTCGCTCGAGCCTTCCTTGGCGCGCATCGTGCGCAGCTGCACGTGGACGCAAAAGTTGAGAAACTCCGACACGGCGAAGATCGCAAGACCGAGCGTGATCTGCGACTCGGAGCTTGGGCCCACGTAGTCGGGGTGGCACAGCGGGTAGCCAATGACGGCGCCAAAGCTCCAGTAGTACATGCAGTTCTTGAAGAGGTTGAAGAGCGGCATCGTCGGGCGCGAGAAGCGGTGCACGAAGAGCGTCTCGAGCTCGCGCTTGAGAAAGTGGAGCGTCCAGCACACGATGCCGAGGTACGCCGTCTTGGCGAACGGCTTGGCCGCCGCGTCGGCGCCGTACAGGAACGCCGGGCGCGTCGCGTAAAAGAACACAAACAGCATCGGGCCGAGGTACTCGAGGAGGAAGACCGTGCGGTACCCAATCTGCGGCCCGAGGTCCTTGAAGATCAAGGTCGCGCCGTCCTTGACGCCGAGCGACGCCAGCGTCTGCGCGTCCCCGTTCAAGTTCTACGTCGGCACGTTGGCGACACGTCTACAGGTCAAGCGAGTGTACCTTGAGCGTCTCGCCGACCTTGAGCTTGAAGCCTTGGCGGTGGATGCTGAGGCGCGAGCTCTTCTGGAACTTGGTCTTGAGCGTCAAGAGCGAGTCGGTCTCGGCCACGTCGAGGCTGCCGTAGTCCTTGCCCTTGGCGTTCACGATCGTCACCTGCATCGTCAAATCTCAACTGAGTTCTTATCCGGTGGCATGCAAGTGCACTACGTCACTTTGCCCTTTGCGTGCGGTCAACTCTACGCCGCATGTGATTGGCTGAAATAGAAGGAAAGACGGCGTACGATTGGTCCATCCGGTGTCCGCGATCGTTGATGCGACAAAACTCTCCAACTCGATATGGATCGCGACCACATCAAGTTGTAGAGATCCACGGCCGCCGATGAGTGCGACCGAGAGCGTCCTCGGCTGGGTCCAGACCGCGACGTATGCTGGCGGCGCGGCCCTCGCCGGCCTCATGATGCTGCTCTACGTCTACCAGGAGAAGCTGTTGTACCACCCGAGCGTGCCCGGCGTGCCCAAGCTTACGACCGAGAACCCCAAGGGTAGGCTGCCTGCCATTGTGCCATTGGGCAAGCTCATACGATGTGGCATGCTAGGCTACCAGCACCCTGCCGAGTATGCCATTGACGCCGAAGACGTCTACATCGCAACGAAAGACGGCGTGACGATCCATGCGTGGTTGCTCAAGCAGCCCACGATGGTGAATGTGCCCACGATCCTCTTCTACCACGGCAACGCTGGCAGTACGTCGATCGTTTGCCTACGTTGGCGGCGCTGAGGCTGGTCATAGACATTGGCTTCCGCCTCCCAAACGCCGTGCAGATGTACAAGCAGCTCGGGTGCAACATCCTCCTTGTCGACTACCGCGGGTTTGGCTTGAGCCTCGGCGACCCGACCGAGCGAGGCCTCCAGCTCGACGCCGAGGTACACACGATCGCCGCTCTCGCATCGTCGCTGCCATCGCTCACGCCCTTGCGTAGGCCACGCTCGACTATGTGCTGCAGCGAAAGGACATTGATGCGACCAAGCTCATCGTCTTTGGCCGGTCGCTTGGCGGCGCCGTCGCCATCTACCTTGCCGAGCACCGTGGCGACCAGGTACTACACTCGTCTCCCAACCTATCCAACCTATCCAATCTATCCAAACCTATCCAAACACTGTCTAAAACCGCGATAGATTGCGGCGGTCATGGTCGAAAATACGTTCTTGAGTATCTCGGCGATGGTCGACTCGCTCCTACCGTGGCTGACGTACGTCAAGCGGTTCTTGCTCGCGATCGACTGGAGCAACGAGCGCCGGATTCCGAGCCTGTCGCACCCGATTCTCTTCCTCGCCGGCGAGCAAGACGAGCTCGTACCGCCCTTCCACATGCAGCTGCTTCACGACCTCGCCCGCCGCAGCCGGCTGCGCAAGTGGCACCCGATCGCCCGGGGCACGCATAACGACTCGTGGGTCAAGGGCGGTAGCCTCTACTTTGAGGTCATGCGGGATTTCATCACGGCCGTGACAAAGACGACGTCGACGTCGACGACGTGCGATGTCAGTGTCGAAGACAACCAAGCGCATGCGATTCCCAACATGCTCGACACGCCGCTCTTCCAGCGAACGTCGACCAAGTCCAAGGACGAATAGTTTGACGAATAGTTTCAATGTATCGAGTAATGCCAACGCGCAAACGTTACTGCGAAAAGAAAGACGTGATGCGGTCTTGGTTTGACCACTTCTTTGAATGTGGCTTGGCGGCTGGGTTGCTACGACGAGGCGAAGGCGACGTCGTCTGCTTGAACGCCGGTACGTCGTACCAGTTGGTCTCGACGTCCTTCCGGACAAAAGCCAAGATCCCACCCGATGCCGGCGTCGTCGTCTTGAGCTTCTTGGCCGGCGGTGGCGTGGCTTGCCGCTCGACGTAGCCGACGAGACTTGGGGCGGGTGTTGGCGAGGCGAGTGGGGCCGGCACCGGACTCGGTGGGTTGTCTGGGATCACGGCCAAGGCTTCTCTCGCCGATGTAAATGTCTTGAACGGTTGGTCATCGTCCGTCAACGTTGTAGTCTCGGCGCTGATCTGCGTGATCTTGTCGGTGGTCACTGTGGTTGTGCTCTGCGTGGCGATGGCGGGTGCTGCCACCGTTGGCGGCGGCATCGGCGACTTGGCAGGGCTCTTACTGAAGTAGCTTGTGATCGACGGCGGCGTCGGGAGCTTCTGGATGCACTCGTCGCTGTCGAACGTCGGCACACCCACTACAGGGAGTGTCGTTGAAGGTCACCGAGCAAGTAGAGTACTCTGCTTGGTCACCGCGTGCCAGAGGAGGCTCGTCGGCGGTCGAGCGGCCAGCAATGGCTGCACGACGGGGAACGGGTCGCTCGACAGCCACGCGTTCGCCTCATCCGGTGTGGCCAACAGCACTGGGAACCGCGTGTGAATGGCCGCAAAGGCCCCGACGGCTTCGGCCGTGACGATCGAGTACGTGTAGAGGACGTCGCCACTCGCACCGTCGACCCACGTGTCGTAGACGCCGGCCATCTACGCCCATAAGTCGTCCAGACCTTGCATGAGGCGCCACCGACCCGCATACTGGACGAGGACGATGCGCCATCATGGTAGACGTAGTACGGCTGCTTCTCGGGCTTCTTCCACTCATAAAACCTGGAGCGGTCGATGCGATCAACATGGAGGCTCGCCATGAACCCACCCGTCAAGATGCACGACGCAGCGGCGCGTGTCGACAAGGCGGCGATACGCGGGCGTCTCGGTAATGCCCTCCGAGCTACACTGCGTGGAGCGACCGCGCTGTCATTCGGTACGGCCTACCGGGCGTTGAAGCGCATAAAGTGGTTGGGCTTCTCGTGGCTGCCCGTGTACGACGGAATAAGACCCCACTAAGATTCGCCAGCATGGCCATGGCGCGCAGCAAGCGAAGGTACTACCTTCATGGCGCGGACCGTCACTTGCTTCGTGCGTTGGTCCACGTACTGGATCGGCGTGTACATGCCCGGCGACACGTTGTTGCGTGGAACGTCTACGCGCACGCGTCACGCGCCAGCGATGGCCAATAGCAATGGGCCTACACTTGTCCATGCCCACGCACGCATCGACGGTCGTGCCCGACGCGGCGGCGACCTGCGCTGGCGCGAGCGTGCACCGCGCCCGCCCACACATGGTTGTATTCTGGTTGTCTTTTCGGCATATGCCACTTCTACCACCTGTAGTTTCGGCACGGCCGACCCTCACGTCGACCAAGCCAGAGACCACTGCTTGTTGAGATCGTCAAGCGCAAGCCAAAGGACACGACAATCTCCGTTGCTGGACCTCGCACCGTAAGGTAAAGTCGACGTCAAGATGCACGTCAAGATGCACGGTGCTAAAGTAAAAATGCAAAATAGCACAAGTCAAAAAGCACGTTAGCAAAAGATCAAAAAGTGCGATACTTCTCGATTTATGCGTGTCATCCTTGCGCAGGGGCCATGCTAATCTTCTCTGTATCGTTCCAATTTTTACGGATGATCCCCGAAGGGATTCCTGACAGAGGAAATTTGACAC